ATCCCGATTTTACTCTTTAGCTGTCTTATATAACTGTCTTACGCTTATAATGGTTGCCTCACATAACTGAACGACAGGCCACGCCAGACAAAAAAACATTTATTGTCAGAATGCTTTTTCTGCAGACATCGTTAATGAGTCACGTTATGTTGATCTGACAGGCTATACCCCAATTCGACAACCCGGCTAACGGGATTTGCCTACGCAGAGTCCACTACGATACTACATACCGTACAAAAGGTACTATAAATACTCATACAGAGAGCTCGACAAAGATTTTAGAAAAAATCATGGCCTGCTTGCTATTGTCGACATAAAAGAGAGTTTGTTTCCTTTTCGCGCTTCGCCGATCGAAGCACAACTCACAACCGTGGGTACAGTCTGGCCTGCGGTTTATCTTTCGCAGTGGCCCATCGGCCCGTAACAACTGATCGCTGGCTAGGTTCCCTCTGCTATCCCCGCTGTAGCAGATCAGCGATTTCAACGAAGCTACCGAATACCAATGAGGATATAGATCAGAGGCATCGAGAGAAGGCCAAGGTATAAATGAGGACAGCGTTGGCCTGGGGTAATGCCAGATTTGCCAGGACAACGGACGCTGCTTAGGTTTATATACCTGACAGAGACCGTGCAGAGCGATTCGGAACGATGCGAAAGCAGTCGTAGCTGGCTGGCTGGCTGGCTGGGTGGCTGGCTAGCTGGCTGGCTGGCTGGCTGGCTAGCTCCGCGATGATTGTCGTTTCTCGACAAGAGCTGAGCGTTATAGCAATGGTTGAGTGTATAGTGGGTAAGCACCGATAAAAGAAAAAAAGCAAAAGCCATTTTAGTAATTTGCGTGTCCTTTGAGCACATTAATAACTATTTGTCGGTTCTCATACAGTACGTCTTTTTTTCTTAAATTTAGGTTCGATATTTTTTTCTTTTAGCTCCAAACAGTTCTCCCGAGCAACAGTTGTTCGTGGATCGTCATCTGATATTAACAGAGCAAAATAACTTACGTGGCAAACCAGACTATCAGATATTTTACATTAATGATAATAGACCACTGCTGTTTCGGAAAGCCTGCAGTGTTCAATCAAGTTACCTGCTAAAACCTATTACTTACTATTATGAAGACTGATATCATTCCAAGTAATAGAAATTAATATGCGGATTAATATACCAGCAGAGCCGTACAAGGTGTAGATCTCGACTCGACCATGAATCATTTCAAAGGTAAGTTGCTTAACATGAAATATTTTATTGACCGAACTTGTAACTTTCCTCAGTATTTATTATATTATTTGGCAGATTCGCTTTCTACTATTCAGCCCATTTCTATATTCTTCTTCAATTCAGGTACACTCACAATTGACGAGTGGTAGCTGCAAAAAATACGCTTAGGTCAATTGATAAGATAACAAATATACAAATTTCTATATCTATTCTTGAGCGGGTTATTAAGTTACGTGAAAAAGAGTATTTTTTCAAACAGGCCATCCACTTTACCGCTTCCCGTTGATCGTCCTGACTACGTAATTAACACTGTACCTGTTGAAGAGGCGAGACGCCTGCATATAGGGGCTTGTGTTCGCGCTGTTTTTTTCCATTCGCACGCAATAGGACATAGTAAAAAATCAAACAATGAATAATTTAGCGTCTCGAATTCGCGGTTCTAAAATGAGGCTGCTTAAAAAAATAGTAGAGGTCGAAAAAGTGGTGTTTTGCCTAAAGCTAGGACCGTACTGTTTTATTCAGTGTAACCTAAAACTCTGATGGGGCTAGCGAAATTCTAAAATAAGCTTTCGTTTTGAATTATCTTCTTTGCACGCCATTGAGTATTCTTCACAGAATTCTAGAGGTAGTCAATTTATCAGACTCGTTACCTACCAATAGTGTAACAAACTATAGAATTAGCTACCGTATATCATAACACATCTCCTGACACCAATGAAAATTGAATACATTCGATCAGTTTAAAAGCGATCGCTGACCTGGAAGATCTGAATTCTTTGATTCAGCCTACTGATTAAACGGCGAGCCTTTTCTTGTTCCGAATGCAAGCTTCCTCTTTGCAAACCGTGAATTTTAGTTCTAACTAAATCGTATAGGCCTAATCTTTCTTCTGCAAACAAAAACTCATGTCCCAAGCGACAGAGCAGTCCATCAAGAGGAACGACCGCTGCATATCAGCGGAACGATGGTTTTATGGCAAGAGCATAAGAACGTGCAGGCATGGCCGATGCTTAGGCCATACAATATCTGTACATCAAATAGAAGAAGAGATGCGACCTGTCGAAAGACTCAGTGGGCGTAGTCGCTGAACCCATTCAGAGTTGAAAAACGAATTAGGAGTAAGCCGGTTCAGTGCGATAACGACAGGACCGCCGTCCTGCCGTCGACAATATGGAATACAGCATCGTCAACGGTGGCGACCACAGTAAGGTCTTCGTCTTTTTCTTGTGGGCGATAGAGCGTTCCGATGAATGAATGGTAGCGTTAAACCGAGAGAGGCCGATAGTCGGGTGAAATGAAAAAAGAGAGGACAACAAGAGAAGGAGAAGAGAAGCTTTACACCAAAAAGTAGAAGTGATGCCGACGATGGCGGCAACGCCAGTAGCGGAACTACGGGAGAGATCCGCCATATTTGTTAGTGCCGTATTAGTAGCAGTTACAGCTAGAGCGGTGTTCACCAAAGTTCCTGTTTGAACACACGTGCGCGGAATAGCTGTCGGCTGTAACAGCATCAGCAGCAAAAGAAGTGGTAATGGCAGCCAGTGAGTGAGGCAGTTCAGCGACGAGAGCAAGCGCGAGCATAAACTACCTAAAGAGAAAGGGTTCAGGAACTTATCTGCGCTACCATCGGCCGCAGCTTCTCTACTAGCTGTGTTTGTACCATTAAGCCTGCTCCTGATCTCTTACTTGAAAGCGCTACAAGACAAAGTTAAGACAACACGTCTAACATAGCCAATGGCTGAAAGCAAACAGCAATCACTGTTGTGTTGACTAAGTTGGTCGGGAGTAGCAGCGTATTGGCTGCTATTGTTGCTTGCTCTGACCATGACTGCACCGCCAATGCCCTCGTTGTGATTGCCAGCAAAACTATCGATATAGCTCAGCATTAGCCGACGAAAGGGTCGCAGAGTCCAACTACCTCCACGGGGCTCAGCTGCACCAGGCTGGTAATTGAACGTTAAACTTTTTCAGCTAGTAAAGCCGGCTAAGATACCAACCACTGTTTGTGCTAGAAGATCTAGGCAGTCAGACACGTTGGTCTAGTAGTGCTGGTAGTTTTTGAATTTTTTCCTTTGATCAAGCAAAGGTCTTTATTGTTGCTAACAGGGATGCTGGCAGAGACGCCTCAGACGCTCGTCGGCGTAGATGCCGGAAATACCGCGATAAAGAACACAAGAGGGCTCGATAAAAGAATCTCTCATCTTGCGTACAAGATCTTGTTGGCTGCACAGTTAGAACAACATCGAAGGGGCGGAGGGCACGCGGGGGGGGGGGGGGGTAAAGGCGCTCAGCTGCAACTAAGTGTACAGAGAGGGATCGTTCGAACTTCGACTGTGCTGTATGATAGTGGGGGTAGTTCTTTTAGACTCGTAGGAGTAGAATACTAAGACGTCCGCCTGTCACCAAGGGGTTAAGGGATATCTCATAAGCTATGTTTAGACGGTCACATCTGGTGCCATGTGTGCCTTGTTCCTCTGAAAAGGGAGGATCAGCTCCCCGTCCCGGTTACATTGACATACACCTCATATCACATGCGGGACATCGGGGATAAATGGCTAGGGGGTGAACTAAGAGCCTGATACAAGTGACCAAACCGCTTTATGGTTTACTTCACAGTCGCGCAAACAACTACTAACGATGCGGCAAGATGAAGCTCACGTCTATCGAGTTTGACTATGTGCTCACTCATGTACATAATACTATACATATGTATTCATTATATACAGCAGTCGATCTATTAGTGCATCGGTTTTACTCCAGTTAAACCTATACGTCCATGTTGTACGAACTGGCAAGACGAAAACGGCTACAAGGAGTTATGATTACGCTGTTGGATCACAGTTCGTGAATAACATAGTCTAATAACACTATGTCTAACCTAGGGGCTAAGGTTTTTCAGTATTACTAAGCTACTAGGACCTAGCAATACGCGATACCGCATAGCTGAAGCTTCTCTCTCAAAATAGTGACGGCCTAATCGAAAATTTTGATAGGATTCAATAAAAGTCAATATAGTTCTCATGTGCTTGTTCGGTTCTCCGCATCACAACAGCCGATGGTTTAACACCGGTCATCCACGAGGTCGGTTTCTCGGGAACCCGTCAGCAGGGCCTCGCTGGCAAGACCCTACTACCAGGCCAACCCCTCCTCGCAGTCACCGACTTCTCCCAACTGTTGTGGCGAGCCCGTTGGCTTTAGTTCAATTCAATGGGCTTATGGCGCGCGTTATCTAACTTCCAGCTGGCCTATAGCCTTACTGCTCACTACTAGCCGTCTGTCGCTTGCCACTACTTTGCGGTTCTAGGCCGATCTCCGGTCTGTCTACTTTTTGCTGAGCCGCGAAAGCCGATCGTTGAACAACGGCACTAGCAGTGCAGTTAACCCTAGTGATGGTACCTCTACTGACCGCGGGCCGCTTACCACCACAATCACGATCGAGTGAGTCTTGCTGAGCCGAGTGTTCGTATCTTGTTTGTCCAGCCTTTTAGTCAGACCAGCCTAGCTAGACAGATTAGATAGAGCAAAAATTCCGCTCGTTCCCAGATTAGTAGCTGTTGTCTCCTCGGGACAATGCAAAATGAACGAGAGCAACGGTAATCGTGTCTGGTGCCGGTCCTGCTTCCACAACCACAGCATGCTTCCCATCAACGGCCTGTTTGGCTGATTCATCGGGTAGACTGGGTTGCTGCTGGTGGTTATAGGTGGACGACGATGGTGGCGGACCGTAGCTAAGCATAGCAATCGGTTATAGTTTCGGCTGCAGGTGGATATCTTTAGCCCTCGCAGCTACCTCGAGCACGACGTTGGCCGTAGCTCAGTCTGCAGCAGTTTACTTGTGCCTGCGTGTTGCCAGAACTGAGCCTGCGAACGTACGGGGTCCTAATAAACCCTGGTAAAAAAAATATACTGTTTAACATCGCATGTCAGTAAGCCTTGCGGAATTTTGCCCTACCGTGTCGATCGTAGGATTGCTCAGTTGCTGGCCTAAAACGTGAAGCTTAGTTGAAGTGTTAATGGTTGGTGTTTGTCTTCTGTCCTTCTCTCTTTTTGTTCTCTTTGTCTATTTCATTATAGCGAACCAGGCTTTCTGGTAAGAAAAACAGTAGCAAATTGGCGTGCGCCCCCCATGTCGACTTGTACTATCGGACGTGCGCAAAAACGATGCCCTATTACCAATTGAACAATAGCCGGAACCCATTGTGGACCTTTACTAACCGCAGAGTGTCGGCCATGCCCCTGTCGTTCACCCCAGTAACTAGCCGGGATCTGTAGGCACACGTTGGAACTCTGGCGCATCTGGGTTAGCCTTTCCTGATAGCAACACCGATGAAAAAAAGGAGCAGAAAACGAATACCGTCGTCATACGAGTGCTTCAGTGTATCTCTTTGTGTGTGTGTCTACGCTCCGTCAGCTGGTCCCTGGTGTGTTACTGTCTGTGGGTCTCTGTACATATAGACGTCTGGCTTCTAAACGAGTGTCTCGGCCGCCTACACGCCAAGGAACTTATGTGAATCGCGGTGCGAGTTTCATGTCAACGCATAATCGCATTCTACTGGATGCTACCGGCGTCGCGAGTAATTATCACAGGGCATGCCGGTGTCTTAGTGGGAGGCAATTGGGATTCATTGTGTGATATCGCTGGGTCGTTACCGTGCGTGATAATAAGCAACTCCATCGACGGAAAGGAGCGGTCCTCTACTGTAAACTATGAGGATCAATCGATCGACTGTTTCCGAAAGCTGTGGTACTAGCGACTGGCAAATGACCATTATTGCATGCTGCGATCTGCGGCTACTGCTGCTGCCGTCGCTGTTGCTGCAGATTGACATGGTGGCCGCGCACCTGTACATTCAAGATTGGCTGGCTAAGGAATAATTTTCTTTCCGTAGTTTTTGCTGATGCAAATCTTTCTCATCGGATTTTTTTGCCTTCGTCGTTCCAACGTCCAAGAGGCGTTCGTGCTGCCACGTTAGGTCGAGTGATGATAGTGCCTGCCATTTCTTCTATCATAACCAGGCTTATTGCTACTGCTAGTGCGGGTGTAAGCAAGTAAATAGGTGCGCACCGCTGTGCGGTCCACGCCGGGTGATGATATGCCGTCGCTGACAACGACGGTGGAAGAGGCTCTATCAGTATATCTTGTGATTTTTCTATTTCATCGAGTGCATGAATCGTCTCAGTGATTCGTCTCTAGTTCGTTTAGCAGGTGATGCGGTCCTCGTTTGTAGTGATGTGGTCTGAGTGGGCCGAGGCGGACGCACCAAACGAGGTGCTGCCAGTAGTAGCTGGTATTACTCCGGTAAACTTGGCCCCGGTATCGAAAATCTTCACTTCACTTGTGACAGCAACGGCAGCGCCGGTGAGAGCTACAGCATCAAGAAAACTAGTCTTCGTCGTGTTGAGAGTCCGCGTGATTTGCCTTCTGCCGCTGCAGCTGCTAGAAGAAGATCTAAGCATAGACGCGTTAGAAAGTCGAAGCCTATCGAGTCGATGACGGCCGTGGGCGAATCTGCTGCTGTAAAAGCTGCCGGTTCAGGTAACATTCCCAGCCGCTCCGACACGGCAACGACCGCTGTTGCACTTGGGTCTGGTAACTCCACCGTGGTTGGTGTTGTTTCTACTGACGCTGCTCGTCCAATACTCGCGGCCGCTTCCATTACTGCAAATACAACTACAACTAATAACACTATCGACGGAGTACCGAGTTGTGTGGTCTCGACTAGGATTACCGTTTATAGAAACGACTCTGTGCATCTTCCCACCTCTTCGACTATTCACCACGTTGGTATGCTGGTGCCGATCAAACTCTACAAACACTCTTTAACATTGCTTATTGCTAATTTTGTATATACATACATGTATGCGAAATGACAAGTAACTTACAAGATTTAGTCGAATGAACGTGACGAAAATAAGTGCAGAAGTTCCTATTTAAGATTAAGCAAATGGCTGACCTACTTTGCTCTCAAGGCTTAGAAAAGCGTTGTGATAAGTGGCTTTGGACAGAATGTGACTAGCACGTAACGTAACGGGTAGAAGTTTCGCATTCGAATAAATGAAAGTTATCAATATATCGACACGATAGAAACGCGTAATTGTTATTATTGCAAAGGGAATAGTTGGTCTATTGCTTTTCAGCGATTCGGTAAATTCCTAACTATTTTCACTGAATATCTACGTTTATTTGGTATTACAATTATTTCTGATAGGTAGTTTGAACCTAGTACCGAGGGTGGATAGTCTATGTTTGTAGAAACCCTCTGACGGGTTCACTATATAAGGCTGATTCGGTGTTGGATGGACTCCTCTCGTAGGGGCCGTTCGCTGTTACTGTCATTAGTGAATCAATTTAGCGGACCCGTTTATCGAGGCTATTATTACTTACCTGTTCGAACAGAACGCGGTGCTTCTGCTTTTCTCAGCTTCTCATTTTAGTGCAGAGCATCGCCGGAAGGCTTCTTGGGTCTCTCAAGAGTTAACCAACAGCTATACTTAAACACGTACTGATCACGAGACCAGCAAAAAAAAATTCCAATCGGCCATTGAGCTCTAACGAAAATCGTTATGAGTACGCCGTGTAATGTTTATGTTGTGTAAATATCTCAGTATGTACTTAGCTGTCTCTCCAGCTAACGACAAAGGGTTTTCTCAGCGCACGTTTTGTTCTACAATCGCCGTTGGAGGCATATTTCTCCGATAGAATCTAGTTCTGGCCGTTGTCCGAATCGCGTAAAACGATCAGCTATGCGTTGGACCCATATATTCCTTGTAGCTTTTCGAAGCTCTGCCAGGGAGCAAGTTCGAAGCGAATCGTAACAAATAACTTGACTAGGATTACCTGTTTGCAACTAATTATGAAGTCAGTCTAGTACCTTGCCTACTTCTTTTTGTAACGTAAACTATTGATACGTGTGTACCATTCGAGTTGGACTTTATTTGTTAGGCATCATTTCAATGCTTGCTAAAACATGAATAGAAGTAGTGCTGCATTCTTGCCTTTAATACCCTTAGTTTTTGGAGAAATACTCGCAGGCAGATACTCGTCATGTATAGGTCTGTTTTGAGCTGAAGGATCAGTCTGAGGAGAATCATGTGTAATATACCGTACAAGAAAGTCATCTAAACGAAGTCTTGCTATCGAAGCACCGACCTTCCGAATACATGTGATTGTATCACATAAGGATGAAGTTTAATTAACGTACGTACAGCTCTTTCAATGTCCTATAAATGTGATGGCTTAATCAAGCGGAAAATTGTCCCGATATGATTGCACCATAAACATTTTATTATATTTTGCCTCACCTTACTTTTGTGCTAAGCCTATTTTTAATGGTCAGCAAAGTTTCTCCATCCTGCAGCTTAGACGCTAGCACTGGCCCTTGGTCGCAGACATGGTTGAGTCCGATAACGTGTAAACATATTATCCATATTTTGCTGACTACCTAATTTTTAAAAAACTAAACAAGCATATCTTCACGGGCCTTTCGTAGGTATGATCAAAAGTATCAATCGGCTGCCATCAAAACATTTATACAATCTCACAAACAAGCACAGGTTCTCTGATATTGACACTGGACCAAAGTTAGATGGAAGCAGGGCAAGATTCCCGGTTTTTGGCTAAACAATTTTCTTCTTATTCTGAATTCATCTGTGGCTAAACTAGTGGTTTGTGGCGTTACCAAATGTTTGTATCGTATACGGATCTCAGCTACATGACATACAATGAAAAGAACGGCGTCATGTTGAAAGAAGCCTGCGTAGATTATCGAGCGCAATACGGCCCGTAATGTACGTTTAATTAAAGAGGTAAAGGGTTCGTTCAGAGATCGCTATATGCTTATACTTGCCGACTGATACATTTCGAGACGTATACGTTCATTAAGGTCAGTTGTTTGACCCTTACTAATATATCTTCCCCCTATTAAGCTTAATTATAATTTATATTGTGTTTTAAAAGAGCCGATAGTAATTCACAGTATCAGGCTACCGATGTCTAAAGCTGATGATCGAAACGGCAGCTTCAGATATCTATTGATTCGAGTCGAAGAGGCACACATGGGAAACACGTTTACTTTCTTCGCTTGGCCGATACCTTGAAAGTTGACTTTCTGTAGATTGGGGTGACAATGATGTTTCTTTGCACTTTAAGATGACCAAAGTTAATAGAAATTTAGAAAAAATTCAACCTTAGTGTATACAAAAAAAGGCCCTTCCGACTAGAAAGTTGCCCCAGGCTAATCCATTTGGTATTCAATCGCCAACCTTTTCGTAGTATCTCGAATCGCCTACGACAATCCTCCTGACACTAGAGCAAGATTCATTTGTTGATCTTCGTTTCCTACATCTCATTACCAGTGGGACATTATATTTCGCCACTGTTCCATCATTGCCTGGAACGCTCAACCTTGCAGCCCTGCCGCATGGCATCGCTCGCTGCGATGTATTGTCAGGTGGTTTGTAGCTATGAGTCTCCATATGTTACGGCTACAGAAGTGGATTTTACCCACTGAATTCTCTCAATGATTTATGCTGAATAGGTCTACCGGTAAACCATAATCATGCACAGTCTGAGCCGATTGGCCTAACTCTGCGGAGTTTATCATTCGCTTGGCAAACTTCTATAATCGTACAGATACATTTGCCCCATTTGCAGAAACGTAGTACGGCATAATATGGGACGATTTACAGCCCCAATGTTCGCTACCTTGACGGGCTGTATTAGAAATAATAATAAATATTTATTAATTTAATAAATTTGGCAATGCAAAATATAGGTGTTTGGAAAACGTTACAGGATCGTATTTTTTTGATCAGGTATTTTTTCAAAAACCCACAGCTTCCAATGTACTCAGTTATAAACATCGGCTCAAATTTATGATCATGTTTAATTAGGACCGTGAGGTGGTAGTAGTAGTAGCAGCAGCCTGCGGAAGACGATACACAAAAAAATGCCTCAATTTACATTTTGGGTTGATTAGGTTGTGATATATATGCTACGAAGACGCGGGAGTTGAGCAGTGAACTTGTTCTTCCCAATTTTCCACCAAAATGTATTATTAAAGACATTAAAAAATTGTTTTAGGTTGATGAAAGCTCAGTCAGCTAGTCATTTACCTCTATCGAATTAAATCGCCTTATCGGCTCAGTCAGTATTAATAGCAAGGAAGTATCTGAACTTCATAGCCAAACATGAACTAGCGCCCGTTTGCCTCTTCAGACAGGGAGGTAGCCGTTTAGGTTCGCGTGTCGTTACGATTTCTGTTGAAACTATTTAATAGAAAAAGCTGCTTTGTGTAGTCTATCCTCACCAGGCGATATTAAGTCTCTGATTGGTCTTTGAAAACTAGTGCACAAAGAGCCGGCAGTATGTACGTGTATAGACTGAATCGTCGTTGCTTCGCGTGTCGTCTTATCGATTACTTCTTGTATCGGCTTATTCCTTCAAGGGCATCTGCTTAGCATATAATGTTTCTATTCGTTGATTTTCCAAATGTCAAAAAATCTTTACTCGGTCTTCGTTAACGTATTATTTCGATAATGATAATTAAGCTTCTATAAGGTAAAATGGGTTAAATGGCTGACCAAGTAGCACTCCGTAGCCCGAAGCAAGGTAATGCCAGCGGCAGCAAACAAATAACAGCTGGCGCGCTAAATTGGCATAATGCGTGAAGCAATCATCGAATATTGTTTTCGTTCTTTCGATTGTCCTATACGAAGCATCCAGAAATAGCCTTTAGAACACCGTCCGAGTGCTGACTGGAGGTGAGGTAGGCTCGCTTGGAAGCGACTAGTTTATGGGCCTAGAAAACAAACGAAAAATAACTAATACATACTCTTGATTATGTTATAGCGTACACATTTGGCATGCCATGGTGACAAGCGCCCTACATTGCATATAGTCATATGCAAGTGTTATAAACAGACTTAATCTTTTAGAAACACTGACTGGGAAATCCTTTGTTAAGCAATGTTTGTTGTTTAGCCAAAAGCTTATATAGTTTTATATATAGAAATGAAGCTCAAGGCGTGTGGAACGTGACGTGAGAAGAAACCTCTATATCGAACATAGCAGCAACTTTTATGTTTGCTTTAGGAAAAAAGACAACCAATACATCTTCATATAAATAATTTCGTAATATTAAACAGCCAAAAGATTGACCTATATTTGTTTGGAAATTGTTTGGGAGCGGATAGACCACTTGAGGAGAACGCTTGAAAAAGCTATAAAACGCGTTGGCTTCATGAAACCGTTTCACTTAAATATGTTGTAGCACTTCATCCAATTTTTCGTAAATTAAATTGCCAAAGATTTATATAAAATATATAATTTTTTTCTCCGATTACAGATGTTTAAATTATTACCGTTACGGCCAATACATCACTGATAAGTGTGGGTCATTGATCCATTGAACGTTTCCTGTATTGTGCTGTGGCTTATTCTTGCTCAACTACGGCTATTGGATCTTTTGGCGTTCTTCTTTTCTTGGCATAGGCTATGTTTTAGATAACCCCCCAAGAGAAAAACCCAGTGGCGCCTGGTCTGCGAAACCGGTCCCCGCGACAGCTAAGCTGATAACATGTTGGCTTTGATCAAAGGTTAGGTTAGGCCATGGCCCAGGTTCGAATCCGGGCATAGACACACTTTGTTTCATGCAACCTAACAGCGATACCGGACGAAATATAGAGGTCTAGGTATTCTATGTGACCTCATCGTCCAAATCGTCTGATTGGAAAATTTTCATCACGATAATAATAATGTATGAGTGAACAAAATTCACTATTCTC